TGTGTGTGTGTGTGTGGGTGTGTGTGTGTGTGTGTGTGTGTGTGTGTGTGTGTATGGGCAGCATAAGGCAATGCTGCCTTATGCTGAAAATGAGTTCTCTATGCCAAACCAAAGGATTCAATTCAGTGTTATTCTAAATGAGATAAATGATAGAAGAAAATGTATACCTTTTTTATTTACATCTTTTTGTGTAGGGATTCCACAGAAAATGAAACCTGACAAACCTGCACCCAATTTGATATCTTCTGCACCCATGTGCTCCAAGATGGAGACTCTCATAGTTTAGAGTTAGGACTGCACTATAAGAGGTGCCTTGGCGCGGCTGTGCGGCTTTCACATCCTCGGCTGAAGACGTGTATCCAAACCTCTGTCATTATCCTTAGGTGGTGAGACATGTTGTTTTACATGCTGGTTTTGTGAGTGTGCCATGATGTCTTTCTGCTGTTTTACTGTTTAAAGCCCATTTCGTGTGCACCTTACTGTATAACTGGTAACAAATTGTTGAGTGCGTTTGTCGTTTGTTTTGCAGTGATGTAAAAAGTCACATAAAAAAAACCATAAAGGATAATCACTGCAAAAATAACTAACATATGCACTCCCTGCCAATCCACTTTAATTTAAAACTCTTGGCTCCTGTGGGTTAGGGGGGCATGCTTTGAGCTATAGTTCCTCATCAGCTGGGTTCTCAATGATCTCATTTGCAGAACATCCGCTCCATTTCAGGCATTTGTGTCTTTTTAGCTGCCAGAAAGACTCTGATCGGGGATCTGAAGCTCTTCTTTGATTGCACATGTGACAATCTACTGCTGGAGATCATGTGTAATGATGCCGAGCACAGCTGCAAGGACCGTGACTCCCAGCCGGCTGCAGTGAATGAGCAGACTGATTTCTGGTGTGCCACCACATTCTGCAGATTATGTCTGAGAGATGGTTGGAGATAAATGGAATTCCTTCACACTTGGAAAGATAAGCTTAAAGTGTGTTTAATACATCATCAAAGAAGCCATTTCATCGACTTAAGAACTTAAAAGTAAAAAGCATTAGTATAGTGGAATCTTTTCTAAATGGAAGATCGGTATGTGCTCTCCAGAGAGATTTTCATTTATGGGATTATATCATTTAACATCTGACAGTGGCACTGGTGCTTTGCCTGCGTTTATAAATGCATCTAACAAACAACTTTGGTGGCACAGATGACTCCTCTGCAAAGCAGGTTATAAACCCGTCACACTGCCAGATGTCTCCTTTGCTTTAGAAGCTGCAAGCACACACAAATGTACAACAGGGACTAGATCAGCATTCTTCAATCAGGGTTCTGTGGAACAGTAGAGTTCCTCCAGAGGCTGCTAGGGGTTCTTTGATCAGTGCCAGATTGATATCCCTCCTGACATCCTCTGCATAGTTCTTGCAATGATGTCACTCAGCAAAACTGGTAGCATAGGACCAGTCATTATTAATTTAGGGGGGGGGGGGGGGGGAAAAATGATGGGTCCTTCTTCCCACTAGTGTAAGAGGACAGTTTTTCCATTGACCACCAAAAGGGGACATGGCTCCCCTACTAACCATCAGTGCAAGGGAGAGCCTCTCACCCAGACACCCCAATGTAAGGAGGCCCTTCTCCACTGATCATCAGTGTAAGGGAGCCTTCTCCAATGACCCCAGGGGGGACCTTCACCACTGACTGTGGGGGCTTCTCTATCGACCACAATTGCAAGGTTAGCCCTTCTCCACTGACCTTCAGTGGTTAGTACAATTTCCACTATACCCATTATTATTTCATTTCATAATTACAGGGCTTGGTAAATGATCCACTCTGGGTGTTAAATATACTAAATATGTCAGATTCTTTTATTCATTGTTATAGTTACAACTTACTGATCTCCCGTATGTACAGATAACTAGATATCTGAGGTTAGCTGGGGACTCCTAAGACCAAAAAAAATATATATATATTTATTAGGGATGCACCGATACCAATACTAGTATCAGTATTGGTGCCCAAATGCTCCCGATGCCTAGCCCGATACTTGAGCCCGATACAGAAAGCCACCTGGTGACGAGATAGCATGGAGCCAGCTTTCCGGCCAATCAGGAAGCTGGGCGTCGTGTAATGACGCGGCGCCCGGCTTCCTGATTGGTCAGAAAGCCGGGCTCCATGCTTTCTCGACACCTGGTGACGAGGGAGCATGGAGACGGCTCCCCTGATAATCGGGAAGCCGGGTGGCGAGTCTTTACACGCCGTCTGGCTTCCTTAACCCCCTGGCGGTCTGATTATGTCAGTATTTTTCTTTCTTTTTCGCACTTTTGAATTTCCCGCTGGTTCCTCCCCCCTGTGATGCCGGCGCTCGTAGGGAAGGAAGACGGATGCCGGCATCGGCCGGAGGACACAGCAGGGCTCATAGGGACAAGGTAAGGGACGCTACAGTGTAATCCCGAGTGTGGCTCGGGGTTACCGCTTTTGGTACTGAAAATAACCCCGAGCCACACTCGGGATTACCGCCAGCGAGGTTAATGGGACTTCTGGTATCGGTATTGGAAAAATGTTTTTAAAAATCGGCATTCGATACCGAAAAAACAGTACCGGTGCATCCCTAATATATATAATACTTGAGGTGTCAGTAATGAGGCAGTTACATAAGTGAATTACCTTTTATGCACACGGACATGTGGCAAAGCCCCAGAACAGACAGCAGTTTAGCCAGTAAGGAGCACTGTGCACTGCAGTCAATGATCAGCTTTGCATGTTACAATGATACGCCAACATTACACTTACCAATGCTTTGGTTAATCCCAGCATGCTTTGCCAGCGCCATCAGAAATCCAAAAAAAGTAAGCCTTGGTGCGCTGCTTACTATCTCCCCGATTAATAGTACAGGAGGGCAGGTACTGGTAAAAGAATATAAACCATAGCAAAGTCAAAGCAAACTCCAGGCAAGAAAAAAAAAGTCATATCAAAATAAGAAAGTATGTTGGTTTCCAGCCACAAAACTAACTTCAGTGTTGCCCCACATGCCCTGACCCCTAATCTGAACCTAAACAGAACAGTAGTTTCATATACACTATATGTTTTATATATTGATCACGACAAAATACAATTAAAACATCTTTTAACCAGGTATACTGCATGTAAATATTTTATATTCTCATTTCAGCCAGCAGGAGGCGCCCTTAGCTCGTTTGCTCTTGTAATTGCGATTGCTGGAAAAAAAGCTGGTTAACAGAGCTCAATAGCACAAGATAAAATGTAAACATTCAGCTAAATAGAAGTCTCTTCCCCATACTATCCATTCCCTGCCAGTCCGGTAGGAAGTTTTAATTGCATTGCTTAAAACCCAACTCTGGGTTATTTTTTTTAATTATTATGAAATGTCCCCCAGCAGAAGTAATACACTTAAATCAGGAGTTATCTCTTCACAAGATGTCCTCAGTCTTCCAGGTTCAGTGATGTCCAGTATCATTCAACCTGGAAGACTGAGGACATACTGTGACAGCAGGGATTCACAGACACCGTTCCCTGCATTCATATTTGCTTTGTCTGCATCATTGAGGACCACCCACCCCAGAGAGGAGGTGAAGAGGAATAGGAGCCTGCAACACTACTTCACTGGCCTATAGACATTCCAAAGAGGGAAGAATTTTTAAAAAAGCGTCACATACTGCCTGGAGGCACTTCAGGTAGAAGGGGTAACACTAAGGAGGGCAGTCCAGAGGAGGAGAAAAATGTTATTGTAGATATAATAAGAAACTTGTTATAGATCTGTAAATACTTATGATATTTACATTGATATTGAATATTTTGTGCCAGTCGGGTGCTGTTTGTTTTTAAACAGAAGCAATGTTGTATCTGACCACTAGAGGGAGACATTTACCCAAGAAAATGGTTCAGATCAGAGAATATTCTCAAATTTGCACTGCAAAGGACTTTCCCTGACGTCCAAGAATGAAATGTTGCAGAAAGAGTTTCCTGATACATGTAGCTAATGACAAAGCAAGAGTCACCTTTCATTGCACCTTGATTCTTCTAAACGGATCATAGTCAGCTCTCCATTATCCACAGATAAAGTGTGGCTAAGCCCCAGGCTTCTTCCCATTATTTTACCCTGATAATCCTGCAAATAACACAGTTTCTGTCCTAAAGCGGCTATGCTCACTCCTCCACTGTATCTATGGAGGGAGCCATGTTGTCACCCATGCTGGACTTCAAACATGTCTTCCTCTGTACATTTCCATTACATGGGTTGGTTCTGAGAGCAGTTAACAGAAGGAAGATAACATTGTTTTTCTCTGTCTGTTCAGCACACAGGAAATGACAAGGACGATGAATGTCAAGAATAAAGGGTATTTTTTTTACTTGCTGAAAAAAGAATGCAGTCACACTATCTAATGACTGGTAAGCTGCAATGGTATTCTATTTTTGTTTTTAGTTATGCTTAAGGAAGTCAAGGCCTCGGCAGCAATTTCAAAGCAAAATCACACTGATTAACGGAATTGCCAAAAAAACAATATAGTTACGGCCAAGGAGATGTACATTGGCTGAAAGTGTTCAGTAAAAATGGCAATATATAGTTGGGTGAAGCAGCAACAGGCTTATATACAGTGGTGGGAGGTGCACAGCAAACAGATCAAGCTCTTCTATGAGCACACTCTCACCCCCCAACTAATCACAGCTGTACATTAAAAAAAAATTAATACAACAACCCAAAATACTTACTTAAATCTGTGGCCATGTAAGGTAACAGGTCCTAAGTCTTTTCTCTTCTACAGCAGAGTGGGAAATCGACACTTTTTATTGGCCGACAATGGGTCCTGAACTACAGCAGCATGAGGAGGTCAGGGGTATAGATGGCATGGCTGGGTGACCACTCCCAGAGGAGGCACTGGCAGGGGATACATGGTGGTGGCAAAAAATGGGGTTAGAGGGTTTTTTGGAAAGAAATGATTCTGGGAGGGAGTTCAGATTTGCCTGGATATGGGCTTTAAAATATATCTTTCATGGGAGAAATATGGGGGCTCAATGCTGCAACAGGTATATTCTGAGTATGGGGATGTGCATTTCCTCCACAATCGGTAGAGCCGAGTTGGGTCCGATGAAGTGACATCATCTGCTCCATAGTAAATACTAAACAATAGGGGATTTCTATTGAAGCATACTTTTGCATTAAACAATACTTGTCTTGAAAGAAATACAGACGGCCATTGATGATCTCATTCTAAAGATTCCAGTGTTATTGTATAGAAACATAATAAAGATGAGGAGATCTCAGTTTGCTTACTGCATGCTAGTTGTGGGTCTTTGCCTCAGGAAGCACTGAAACCAAAGACAGGAGGAGGAGGTCAGCAATGACAGCGTAATAATTTCTCTTACGACAGCGTTTCTTAAAAGGAGACGTATTGGGAGAGTAAATTGTACTCTTCCCAATACTTAGAGCTGGTGTGTGACACTGCAGCGGTCACATGCCGGCTCTATAGATCAAGAGCCAAGCGATCCCAAACCACTCAGCTCACTGTCAATCCCACTCCCCACAGGGATTCCCTCTCCCCTCTCAGTTCCTCCAGTGCTCATAGGAAGGACAGACAGGGTAGGGGGTGGGCACAACTGACTGATTCTAGAGAGCCAGCTGTCAATCAAGCAGTTGGGATGGATCCTGACAATAGTGTTGGGATCTTTCCCAGCAGCAGTGTGGCTCTGCGCTGTCAATATACAGAGGGCAGTTGCCCACTGGATGCTGACTTTGGGTCACAGGAGTATGGTAATAAAATGTACTCATTTGACCCAAAAGAGGACTAAGGCCAAAAACAGGGTTTGGCTTTACTGCTCTGTTAAAATAAAAAACAATTTCCTGATACAAACAACAATTCATTTGCTGGAACTAGTTTCTAAGACATTTGCTTCCCACATACAGGAAATTCCTTGCTCCAGCTCCTTAACAGTCAGTAGTGAGCCATCAGTTCGCCTTCATGGTGGAAGGATAGATTTAAGAAGACTGTTACATCTACAAGAAGAGCCTTGAACATCACTTCCGGGCAGCAAACTGCAGATACATCTGGGAGGCAATAGCTGCAGGTACGGGGTAAAAATGGCTCATACAAGCGAACGCCATGCTTCCACTGTCACAAAACAACTTGGCAAGCTCTAACTTTGCACCACAACAGACACAGACTGCTACCATATATACTGGCTTGCAACACATCAGAGACGCACATATCAAATGCTTATAAAGTTTTGCGGATTCTGTACTCAAAGATGCGAGGGACATGGAGGGAATCATCCTAAAGAACCTAGAGTACCAACTAGGGATGTAAAGATACCAAGTACCGTACTCGGTACAAGTACAAATACTTTTCCAGCTCCAAGACTAGACTAGAGAAAAATTAAAAAAAGTTAGGAGGCGGCTGTCATGTGTAAGGAGCACACGGAGCTCCCGGGATTTGTACATCTCTGTTATATATATTTCTATAAATAAATCATACATTATAAGTGATGCACTGATACCATTTTTCCCAGTACAAGTACTGATACTTCAGTCCTCACAGCACCCAAGTCCTCACAGGTACTGATACATTTTTGTTTATTGTCATGTGACAGTTTTTGTAAAACAATACAGACTAATGATTTCAGTACACTGGTGGAGCCCCAGAGCCAGGTCCCAGCTGCAACCGCGGTAGTTCTCATGAAAATGCCAAGTATCGGCAATGGTATCTGGACATCCCAAGTACCAACTGGAAGCTCCGACTACCACTTCCTTCCAGGAGCAGCTCATCATTTAGCAGTTGGCCAACATAAAGTAAACCAATGAGGGACTTGGGAAAGTTTCTAGCGGTCACATGCCGGCTCTATAGATCAAGAGCCAAGCGATCCCAAACCACTCAGCTCACTGTCAATCCCACTCCCCACAGGGATTCCCTCTCCCCTCTCAGTTCCTCCAGTGCTCATAGGAAGGACAGACAGGGTAGGGGGTGGGCACAACTGACTGATTCTAGAGAGCCAGCTGTCAATCAAGCAGTTGGGATGGATCCTGACAATAGTGTTGGGATCTTTCCCAGCAGCAGTGTGGCTCTGCGCTGTCAATATACAGAGGGCAGTTGCCCACTGGATGCTGACTTTGGGTCACAGGAGTATGGTAATAAAATGTACTCATTTGACCCAAAAGAGGACTAAGGCCAAAAACAGGGTTTGGCTTTACTGCTCTGTTAAAATAAAAAACAATTTCCTGATACAAACAACAATTCATTTGCTGGAACTAGTTTCTAAGACATTTGCTTCCCACATACAGGAAATTCCTTGCTCCAGCTCCTTAACAGTCAGTAGTGAGCCATCAGTTCGCCTTCATGGTGGAAGGATAGATTTAAGAAGACTGTTACATCTACAAGAAGAGCCTTGAACATCACTTCCGGGCAGCAAACTGCAGATACATCTGGGAGGCAATAGCTGCAGGTACGGGGTAAAAATGGCTCATACAAGCGAACGCCATGCTTCCACTGTCACAAAACAACTTGGCAAGCTCTAACTTTGCACCACAACAGACACAGACTGCTACCATATATACTGGCTTGCAACACATCAGAGACGCACATATCAAATGCTTATAAAGTTTTGCGGATTCTGTACTCAAAGATGCGAGGGACATGGAGGGAATCATCCTAAAGAACCTAGAGTACCAACTAGGGATGTAAAGATACCAAGTACCGTACTCGGTACAAGTACAAATACTTTTCCAGCTCCAAGACTAGACTAGAGAAAAATTAAAAAAAGTTAGGAGGCGGCTGTCATGTGTAAGGAGCACACGGAGCTCCCGGGATTTGTACATCTCTGTTATATATATTTCTATAAATAAATCATACATTATAAGTGATGCACTGATACCATTTTTCCCAGTACAAGTACT